CGGGTGACCCTGAGCCTTCCCTTAGTTATGCTGCTATAGGTCTAGGCTGCTGGGGGGCCCCATGATGCTCCGAGTTTCTTTCCCCTCCTCTCCTGCTCTGCTCTGCTCTGCTCTCCTCTCCTCTCATCTCCTCTCTCTCCCTATGCTTCTATATGCCACCATTACACATTACTAACTTTGTGTCTCCTCTCTCCCATAGTGTGTCCTCTCTCTCTCCCCTTAGTGTGTCTTCTTAAATGCTCTGCTTCTCTTAGTGGTGGTCTTGCATCTCTTTTTAGTGGTTCTGTGTCTGGTCTTTCTTTTATTTTGAGTCTGTGTTCATTTAGCATCTAGTTGTAGTTCTTTGACTGAGCTCTATACATTTCAGACTAGAAATTGTAACTGTCACTTCATACACAACCATTTGGTGACCATTCATGGGTGAGTGGGCTCTTAAGATGCCATAGCACCTTTATTGAATGTCATTGTCTGCTTCTAGTACTTTTAAGATGTGCTGATCAGTGACAGACTGATCATTTGTCACTATTTAATCAATATCTGAGCTACACAGGCGAATTTTGTGTAGGAATTCTGAACAATCCATACTCAGTATCAGTCTGTCCTCGATATCCATTAGTAACTGTAGATCACTAATGCTGAACCTGGGGATGTTGCTGAGGAGCCACGTAATAAATGACATGACAAAATACAAGAAGCTTGAATGTAAACATACTGGATCATTCAGTTCATGCTTCTCTCTGCTGTAGCAGAGATGATGAAGGCACATTGTTACACCTCAACCTTAGAAACATTTTATTCAGTTAAGAGGAGAAATGTAATCAGATGATTCTATTCCCTTACCAAATGCCATGCCAGCCTAAGTGTACATGTAATACCTGACAATTAACACGAATGACACAGATATTCTTGTATTCACATGCCCCCTCTGGTAGGCACCTGATAAATACTACAATGTTAGTGTACTGTGATACTTGAACGTGATAATTTATAGATCCCATGAATCACAGAACAGAAAAGTCACTGTGCAAATGATTTATTTGACCTTTGTGGGTTATTTCATCCAAGCATACCTTTGTTTACACTGAAAATACACTTATCAGAGCAGAGTCATAAACAGAATACCTGACAGTAACTAAGGCATGGACCCAGGGAGAGCAGTCAGTGTTACCGTGGAGATGTTGAGCTGATACTGCAGAGGAGACGCAGTGAAAAGCGGATCTTAATGAAAAAATAAATCATCACCGGATCCCTGATACAGCTCTTCTCTCCTCAGCTCTGCGTAAAGTGACCACAGATGCATTGGACATGTCCCAGAACTGTCACAAAGGTGTCTACCGTTCAAGTAGTCCGCACGCAACAACAAACCAATCGGCACTGGTCCCTGCGGCGTGTGTGTGCGCAGCGGGCGGACGGATACGGACGAATCGCAGGTTTATCAAGGAGTAAACGTGCCAGAAAACCCCGCCACCGGAGCGCAGAGCCCGAGGAAACCGGCGCCGGACCCGGGTTCCTGCAGCCTTTCTCTTCACCTGACCTCCAGAGGTAGGACACCTGCTGCGTGGGTCTTTGTTGTTCAAACTAATAACGTCTGGGGACATATTTGGTGTGTTTAACCGAGCCTGAGAGTGCAAGGTAGGGCTGATGGTTAGAAGAAGACGTCTCAGCAGACTGTGATTCTAAAGAGGAAGGGAGAGAATGAACAAGACATCTGAGGAAGAACTTTGGTGTTTTGTGAGTGAAATTTAAGAGGCTTGATTATATCAGGACACCGGTACCTTTGAACGGACTTCTAAAAACACCATTGCTCGTACTAAGCTCGTTGACGCAACAGTCCACGTTGAGCTGCAGGGTTCGACCGGCAGATGGCGCTGTTGCTTTGCTTGCAGAGCGCTATTGTGCATCTGATGACTAAATACAAATTACATAGCGTACTTTACCTTAGCCTGATTACCTGACAGCACTATGTTTTCTGAACCAGTGATTGGTTTCTATAGATTATAACCCATTACCAATATCACAAGATACCAGGTTTATGAAAATGGCCACGGGTTTTAAAAGCAGATGAGATCTCTATGGCAAGCAGAGTCTGGCACTCTTATCAAAGATGTAAACTGGAAAGGCATAAGAGGAAAGCCTCTTTATTATGTGGTGGGCAACTGTGCTGGGAAGGTACAATATTACAATACACACAAGGCCAATGGTTGGACATAAAATGAAGTATTTATCATGAATATTTAAAGAAACCTGATATGTTGCTTCTGGGAATGTAGGAAAAATTTAGACCTCTGGAGAATAATTGATGTGAGATAAAATACTGGGGCAACTCCTCATAGCTTGGTGTCATGACATGTATGCTGGGTGTTAAAGAGGAGTTTCCTATTATAGCCTATACTTGAAATTCCCCAGTGGACTAAAAATATAAATTCAGTGTCTAATCCTTTACTGCACTGAAAAACTAAATTAAGTTTGATAAAATATGGGATTTTTAAAATGCTGTCTATGAAATGATGATACAGTAGAATATAACTTTGTCAGCTTTATGGTGAAATTCATTTTGTAACCTGAAGGCAGCTCCATCTAAGAAATAGACACAGAATGTCCAGTAACCACACATACACCACATACAACACTTCCACAGTCACACGTAACACATTATAACAGACACACAAAACACAGCCCTAATATACAATACGAATGTACTAGATATACATGTACTGTACAAGACGCAGCATATTCAGTAAGCAGTAGTATCATAACACCCAGATATATTTATACCTTTGTGGTCCGAAGCTATCATAGCCTGAAATTGAGGAATCGAGTGCTCCAGCCTCTGTGACCCACATGGCCTGTTTGCCCCCTCTCACACAACCATCTCCTGAAACAGATCGCCTACGTTGGCAGGCGGAATTACTAAAGCTCCCGCAGCATTGATGACAACACACATTGCACCAGCTCATGGATATTTGTCATCATAAAAACATGATGACAAGCACAGTGAAACTCTATCGTCATTGAAACTGTCATAACATGCCCTTATGAAACCTGAAAATCCTGTGTTTTATATACCGAGCCTTTTTAAAATTTTTTTACAGGAGGACAGTCTCAGGACTGGAAATTTGAGAGTGACAGGTCCTGGTATACAGCATGTGTTTGTGTATACAATGTGCCTATGGACATGGAAAGGTAAAATTAAATACTGTGTGTTTGCTTTATGCTATGTTTGTGTTAGCCCTGAAAGTACAGTGCATTGCAACTTCAGAAAACACAGGCAAACAGAGAAAGTATGACACCAGAAGCACCACAAAAACTAAGTTAACCCTTTGGAATTATTTCCATATATGCATATGTTTGCCTTAACATACAGTATGTTTTAACATACAACACATGAATTGATAAAATACTTTGCAGGTAAATATCTTGAATGCATGAGGCAGCAGATACATGTGGAAACCAACTGATTAATCATGTGTGTATTTGTTAATTACACATGCATTGCTAATGAATTATAAGTGGGCTGTTGCTGAGAAAGACAGAAATTGTTAACACTCTGCGACTAGAGACTGGAACTGATCATCCCAGGCCTTGACAGTTTTTAGATAAGAAAGTTAGTCACTCACTGAAACATCCTCTCTCACAGCTGATTTTCACTTCTGTTTTATTTCTAGGTCTAAGGAACTTCTTGACCTTGTGAGGGTGCTCTTCTCTCTCTCTCGACTTCCTCCTATATGCAGAGCCCTTCTGCAGCAGAAGCTTCTAATAAAGAACGAAAAAGACAAAGTGGGTCTCAACCTTTCTTTTATTTAAGAAGAATTTTCACAACATTACAGGTAACTGCAGTCATGGCAAAGAATATTTGCACCCATGTATTTCTGTCAGATAACGCACCAGTTCTCAGAATTCATTGGTGATCTTCAGATTTCATAACGTCACACCCACAGTCAAGACATTTTGTGCCTGAAGCAGCAGAGCAACCCCAGAACATCAGTGAACCTCCACTGTGTTTGACTGTAGTGACATGTAGTAACAGTAGAATGATGTGCTCAAACAAACAGCTCTAGTTCAGTCTTGTCTGTCCACAGGACATTGCCCCAGAAGGACTGTGGCTTCCTCAGGCCAGTTTTGACAAACTCCACTCTGGCTTTTTTATGTTTCTGTGTCAGTAGTGGGCCCCTGGGTCTCCTACCAAAGCATCCCTCGTCATTCAGACGGAGATGGTGTGAGCTGACACTGTTGCAACCTGTGTCTGCAGGTCAGATTGAATTTCTCTGGAAGTTGATTGAGGTTTTTTTATCCACCATTCGAACCATCCTTTGTTACAATCCGTCATCTATTCTTCTCTGTTGCCACGTCCATGGAGATCAGCTACGGCGCCATGGGCTGTAAACGTCTTAACACACAGGAACAGCCAGATCTCTGGAGATGGACATGGAACCTTGAGACTGTCTGTTTACTCACATTGATATGGGTACCACTAGCATGTCTGTTTGGTGTTCCTGTCTGTCACTGTCCAGGTTCTCTCTCATGTATGAACTTTGTTTATCACTGATCTCATCAGTTACTCAGTCCTTATTTGCTGTTTGCCAGAGTTTATGGCTTTCAACTGTTCCCTTATCTCTGTCTACTCCTACATCAGTCAGTGGAATGGTGCTCATTGAAAAGACTGTTTGTACCTACCTCAGTCTTACTTGCTTGGACACCGAGATGTGTAAGACTGGGTTTGAAAATACCTATCTGCAGTTCTGAGATTACTTGCAAGAGAATGCTGACCTGGAATCCGGCGAATCAGAAAACATTACTTGTACCTGCACCCTATGTGCTACCTTGTGTGTGAAAACATGTACCTACAACTTAACCTGAGTTTCCTGTTAGATGCATAACAGCGATTACAGCTATCCCAGGCTGCCTGAGTGTATCTGTTTCGCCATATCCCTGTTTACCTGTGTAATCACTTACCTTTTAGTTTTAGCCACTCTTTGTCCGGTTTGTTTCTGATATCCGCTGTTTGGTTTATTTACTTGTAACCTGCACTGCACCTGTTTGCCATTGTATAGACTGAGTTAATAGAGGCCTTGTATTCCTCAGCTCTGTTCCTTGTCTCGTTTGCATCTCAGTCCTAAAACTGAAATCCTCCCATATTTGTGTTATACAACCTACAATAACCAGGTCTTTACAGATATTTCATGATACAGTAACTAATAAACTAACATCCCCATCCTCAGTTTGGAGGATGGGGACAATGCCACTGTTGAACTGTATCTGCATTATACAGATAATTTCTGTTATATGGCTAAGTTTTACTAATACAAATAGTGTGGACAAAAACAAACATCTGTCAGTGCAATGCAGTTCACACACTAAATGATGTCTTACAATACCTCAGAATAGAACAGCTGCGAAAGGTTTAAGGTCCCGCTGCTATCACAGGGCCGACTGAGCTATGTTAAATGCTAACAAAAATAAAATAAGAAACACATGAATTTATCAGTCTTTATTTGGTTTTAGGCATGTTGGAATGTGATGAAGGAAGGAGAACAAAATTTCAGCCCAGACATTTGGGTAGAGCAGCCTGTAGACACATAGAGACCAAGCTGTTTGGATTTTGCTGTAAAGTAATGTGTGTTCTGTCACTGCCATTTATTTTTAATAAGTAACTTGGTCTAGTTTACCCCGGTGAACGAGAGGGTCGCTTCCCTGTGCCTTCGGGTTGGGGATAGGTCTCTCACTGCCGTTTGTGTCTACGGGCCGAATGGCAGTGTAGAGTACCCGGCCTTCTTGGAGACCCTGGGAGGGGTGCTGGAAAAGGCCCCGACTGGGGACTCTGTTGTTCTACTGGGGGACTTCAACGCCCACGTGGGCAGCGACAGTGACACCTGGAGGGGCGTGATTGGGAGGAACGGCCCCCCCGATCTGAACCGACCCGTCACCTAGGACCTATTTGCCTTGGGAAACCCTACCAGGGGCATATAGACCCCGACAACATAGCTCCTAGGATCACTTGGGTACTCACCCCTCCACCACAATGAGATCACAATAACGTCATGTCTTCCGATGAGGAAGCATTGGCCAGGGGCTTGCAGGTGGACTCATCCATCACCCAAGCTGAAATCACCAAGGTAGTTGATAAGCTTCTCAGTAGCAAGGCACCGGGGGTGGATGAGATCCGCCCTGAGTACCTCAAGTCTCTGGATGTTGTGGGGCTGTCTTGGCTGAAATGCCTCTGCAACATCGCATGGCAGTTGGGGACAGTGTCTCTGGATTGACAAACCGGGGTGGTGGTCCCTCTTTTCAAGAAGGGGGACCAGAGGGTGTGTTCCAACTATAGGGGCATCACACTCCTCAGCCTCCCCGTGAAAGTCTATGCCAGGGTACTGGAGAGGAGAATTCGATCGATAGTCGATCCTCAGATTCAGGAGGAACAATGCAGTTTTCGTCCTGGCCACGAAACACTGGACCAGCTCTATACCCTCTTCAGGGTGGTGGAGGGTTCATGAGAGTTTGCCCAACCAGTCCACATGTGTTTTGTGGATCTGGAGAAGGCATTTGACCGTGTCACTCACGGCACCCTGTGGGGGGTGCTTCGGGAGTATGGGGTCTGGGACCCTTTGCTAAGGGCTGTCCAGTCCCTGCACGACCAGAGCAGGAGCTTGGTTCGCATTGCCAGCAGTAAGTCAGACTTGTTTCC